GGCCGGGACGGGTGGCACGCGGGCGGCTAAGGGCCGGGACGGGCGGCGCGTGGGCGGCTAGGGGCCTGAACGGGCGGCGCGCGAGCGGCTAGGGGCCGGGACAGGCGGCGCGCGGGCGGGTAAGGGCCGGGACGGGCGGCGCGCGGGCGGCTAGGGGCCTGAACGGGCGCGCGCGGGCGGCTAGGGGCCGGGACGGGCGGCGCGCGGGCGGCTAAGGGCGGCGCGCGGGCGTCTAGGGGGGGCGCAGGGCAGGCCGAAAGAGTGAGAGCGAGGGCCCGGAGCGCGCTCCGGGCAGAAAAAAAGTTTCTCCTGCATGATCAAGCGTTTAGACTTGGAGAAAAACACAGAGTTGATAATATCCAACAGCCATGCGTAATGACATACGCTCATGCAAATCATGCAAGCACAAATATCACGAGCAGTCGGCAGGACGTTAGGATGACATGCACTCAGAATGACGTGCATCCAACAGCTTCTTGGGTGTTGAGCTTGGGGTTGCGGAGCCTGGGGGTGCTGAGCCTGGGGGTGTGGAGCCTGGGTGTGTTGAGCCTGGGGGTGCAGAGCTTGGGGGTGCTGAGCCTGAGGGTGCGGAGCTTGGGGGTGCTGAGCCTGAGGGTGCGGAGCCTGGAGGTGCTGAGCCTGGGCGTGAGGAGTCTGGGGGTGCTGAGCCTGCGGGTACTAAGTCTAGGGGTGTTGCGCCTGGGGGCACTGCGGCGCCTGGTGAGCAGTCTCCTTGGAGCGGCCACCTCCGTAGTCGCTCTGCTAGTGCCTCGCCACAGCGCTCTCGTAGTCGTGTCCCGCTCTCCCCACAGCAACTGCGCGAGTGATACATTAGTCGTCAGGGTCACACTGTTGGAGTTGGGGGCCCTGCTACGGGAGGTGCTGGCGTTGGAGGCCCTGGAGTTGGCGCTGCCCCGCTCTCCCCACAGCAGCTGCATGAGTGGTACGTGAGCCGTCAGGGTTGCGCTGCTGGTGCTGGGGGTGCTGCTGCGGGAGGCGCTGGTGCTGCTGACTCTGCTACTGGAGGTGTTTCTACTGGAGTTCCTGGAGCCGCTGGTCTCGGAGGTGCTCATACTGGAGCTGCTGAGGCTGGTGGTACTACTGGACCTGGAGGTGCTACTGTAGACTCTGAGGTTAAAGACCCCGGAGCTAGAGGTGCGGGTTCTGGGGGTGCTGCTGTTAGAGACACTGAGGCTGGAGACCCTGGGACTGGAGGTGCCGGTTCTAGGGGTGCTGCTGCTAGAAGTGCTGGTCCTGGAGGTGCTGTTGCTGGAGGTTCTGGAGCTGCTGGAGGTGCTGGTCCTGGAGGTGCTGGCGCTGGAGGTTCTGGAGTTGGTGGAGGTGCTGGTAGTGGAGGCGCTGGAGCTGGAGGTTCTGGAACTGCTGGAGGTGCTGGAGCTACTGGTGCTGGTGGTCCAGTGCAGCTGCGACTGTTCTTCGCTCCGCCGTCGCCTTCGTCCCTGCCACCGCCTGACTCCGTGCTTCGCCAGGTTCTTAGCCTCCTGTCTTCTACTGGTCTTTCGTTACAGCCTGGCTCACCGTTGCCTGCTCCTTCTCCTTACACTGAGCAGACAGAGGGTCTTACTGAGCGACGTGAGCCTGCGTCTCGTCCTGTCTCACCTGTTCGCACTTATCGCACTGGTCGTCCTGGTCGTCGTGTTCCTCGTGAGCGTCCGCCGGCTGTCCCCGGCACACACCTCATGGCTTTGCGTCCTTTCTCTGCTGCGCAGCGTGTTCCGCTGCCGTCCCCTCCTGCGTCCTCTCTGCCTAACGTGCCAGACCCTGAGTCTGCCAGCGCTCGTGCTACTCACCCTACTATCACGCGTCTACTAGCCACTGTTGTCACTGACCCGTCGTTTGAGTCTGCTGCTGCGTCTGCCTTAGTTGCTGAGCTTGTTGACTTTGCTACTGCCTGTCGTCTAGACTACGCCACTATTCTTGTTGCTGAGTCTGAGTCTGCCTGTCCTTCGTCCGTCGGGGTGAGTGTGCTCTTGGCACGGACGTCCTTGAGGACAGGCAGGAGGAGTTTGAGTGCCTTGCAGCCTTTGCGCCTCATCTTGTGGACATGCTGCTTGCCCCTGAGGGAGACCCGGATGCTCCAGACCCGGATGCTAAAAAATCCTTATACATCCTCACCTTTCCGTTTCGTCTGGCGTTTGCGCTTCTGCTTCGACGTAGTGTTAGGAGCACCGCCATGCATAGTAGCAACGGAACCCTTCTTGCGCCTAGGGAAGGAGCGGTCGTCGTCACCGCTGTCGTCGTCGGCCTCGCTTTCGCCACTGACGTTTTCGTCCGCATCGTCTGCTGCTTCTAGCGCCGGCGAAAGTGTGACAGGCAAGTTACCGTCAGCAGATCCAGCGTCTAGTATTGGGTCTACCTCGGGCTCTAATGGCAAATCGCGACCTACGTTAGCCTTGTCAGCACCGTGCTCGTCCGACGACAGCTGGTCGTCGACGAGATCTGGTGCGACCAAGTTGGCAGAGTCAGAAGTGGAGGAGCTCTTGCGGGTGAACTCAGCACTGACTTGAGAGAGCAAAAATTGAAGTTGTTCAGGCGACATCCCATGCAGATTTAAGGTCGAGTTGTCAGGCTGGTTATCGGCTGAACCTTCATTCGCAGCCGTAACAGAATGTCTTCGCCCAGGTAACGTAACACCAAGTGCGCCATTATTGTACCTTGCAGGCACCACAACGGGTCTTTGAGGGCGGCCTGGAGGAGGATCATTTCCAGGAAGGGTAATAGGGCGTTGGTTCACCATCTCGGCAGAAACAAAAACTGGGGTTTGAGCTAAATAGTCGCACAAACCATGTTTCTACAATCGTTTGCAGCTGAGAAAAATTGGCGGGGAGCTCCTGATTGGTCGTCGAAAGTGGTTGGAAGTCGCTGGGGCGATTGGTCGAGCTCTGTACCAAGCGACATTGTTGCTGTTGCAGTGCGACATGAGCAATATCGCACACCCTCACCGTGGGCTCACGACGAATCGCGATACCGCACTGCAGTCAGTTTCCGTGGAGTTGACCACGGTACATCCTCCACGTGGACCTAGACGAAGGTATCCAGCAAACGTGGCGACTCCAACTCAAAAGCAGGGGAAACACGGTGACTGTATTAGCTGGAAACATGAGTTTTAGGGAAACGAATTCAAACGCACGTCACTCCCTTCTCCCACAAAGTAGGTACACGATTGTGGTGCCTGCTTTTTCAAAATCTGTACAACAATCAGTACTCAATATATACAAATATACACAAAAAAAAGCCATCAAAACAGAAAATGGTTGAGGAATCATGTCTGGCCTGCAGACTCAAGCTGCACAAAATGAACAGCTCTAAGAATGGAAGCTGTCTCTACAACCATGTACCTTTGAGAAACCCCCTCTAAACTGAATTGCCGGCAGCCGGTCAATTCATCTAACGCGTCATGCTCGATATAATACCTCACGAATGCGAATTCGCGTCGATCTAGACCATGGCCGACATGGAATAGTAGCAGAACCTTGCCGTACCACTCCGATCCTGTACCTTGGATAGCAACATCACTGAACCAAACTTTCTTGTGGAATAGCGGAACCGCTCGGATACGGTGTGGGGTGCTAGAAAAAGCCTCGTCCGTCGCGGGTGGCATGGCCAACTCAACATGAACCTGTACAGCAGTTGTGTGCCACATATTGCATCATTAGTAAAGGCATAACGTAATTGTTGCCGGGCGTGCAACAAACAAATGCGTGCTAAGGATAACGTACGTAAATTGTGTCGAAGTTCGGGCCGTTGGGTACGTCGCGATCGATGGAACGACGAAGATATGGGAGGTCGTTATCTAGGCTGTCTAGATACAATTGGTCTCGCTTTGGGTCAGGCTTGGAGAATCCGACGTATGGGTGCTCGTGACGACGCGCGTAAACGATCAACCCCCATGAACTCGTAGAGAGTGTACGTGCTCCCGTCTTCAATGCCTGTACAAAGTTCATACAAAAATCAGAATGGTACCATCCTTCAACATGAGAAAATTAAGGCTTGATTGTCACTGTAATATATACGTACCTCACGCATTGCATTACTGTATTCGTGTGTAGTGTCCAAGTCGGCTTGAGGTAGCGAATCCAGTTGCAAGCGTAACTCCTCCGCTTGGATGATTTGTCCACCCGCGTCACGCTTGTTGGATGCACGGTATGGCCTCTTGATATGGTCCTTGTGAAAGTGCTCAAACATGCTTGCATCATAGTAGAGTGGAGGGCCTGCACGGCGAATTGCGTCAATGTAGTGACTCATCAAGTGGGTCTTGATAAATCCCCATTTGTAAAGAGGGAAGCTCTTTTTTAGAAGCTCAATTAACCTGCAAATACATTCACACAAGATGTAGTCAGGTCGAAGGGCATATTGCAATTATGTACATGCAATTTAGAAAGCGTACGTACCTCATGGATTGTTCCTCGAGTTTTGTCAAGGTTTCCTCGTCATAGTCTCTCGTCTTCCCACACGTGTGATACCACTCGATGTATGCCACAACGGCGTCCATGTGTGGTTTTGCCACATAGTCTCGAATGAGGAAAGGAAGGATTTGCATGACAGACCTGTGCTCGTAAGCTTGGAACGAAGCACCTAGACGGAAATACTCTCCAGATGGTAGGCGCAAACCATCAACCCGAAATGTCAACTTCAACTGCTTCAAGATGCTGCAATGAAGGAGAGAGAGATACATTAGTCTTATGCACTGTGGAACATTAGAAAGAATGGTGTCAAGCGATGTAATGTACTCGTCAATGGCGACGTGGTATTTTTTATCAATGACCCCTCTCAAGGCGGCAATAATGTGCTCCAGCATGCCAAGATCAGCCTGATGCATCAGGTGTGGCATCACCGCCATATATGGGCTGCCCCGCGGCTCTGACTCAAAACGGAAGCCATGAAGCGCGCACTGCGTTGGGTTTAGGATGGCAGGAGAGTGTTGAGTGAAACATGACTAGTATATGACGCAAGAACAGTGGATTGTTTTGCACATACCTCTACATGATGAGTGCTGTAGGTTTGCGGGTGAGGCCCCCCTCGTTGCCGTGCAGAGACGGCCTTGTAGATGACATCTTGTTCTTCAGATGAGCGATATTCGTCTCTCTGCGTGAAAGAGTCTAACTCAGTTTTGTGGACCTTGCATAAGGAACAGGGGTAGAATGTACCTAGAGACTTGGTGAAGGTGAGTTTGCACGTCTCTGGGTAGTCCGCCACATAGGCGTATAGTGCTGGGTAGGCCGTGAAAACGAGACCAGACTGGTCATGCACACGGGTCCCCCTGAAAAATCGAAATGTGGGCAACGGGGCAAAGAGGTAAGACAACTAGAGAGAAGGGAAGCATGGGCACAGCAATCCGACGAGGAGGGTACGGGGATGAGAGGAGGGAAGTAAAGGACGCAAAAGGGCAGCGAGGTTGGAAGAATGCTAAGAGCGAAGCATGGGGCAGCAATCTGAGAAGGAGAGGAGAGAGATGAGTAGGAGGGCAGTCACAGAAGCAAGGCCCATAGTGTTGAAAGGAAGAGCATCATGTGGCGAGCATGGCGAGCAGGATAGGTCAGGGATGAGTATGGGGGCACTTACACGTGTGAAGCATCTTTCAATGGTTGAAGAACGAGGCGCAAGACATACTGGAAGATCTGCAGTCGGTCAACCGACGTGTACTCCGCCAGAAACTCCGGTAACGTTGCAATGAGCGCATGCCCGTATGGCTTCCAGCGATCCTCATGATGAATGTTTCCCAATGACATGTAGATGGGATGCCCCTTAGCTTTTCCTCTGCCGTCAGCTATTGTCTCATCCGACGAGAGAATGAGAGTGGCAACGACGTCGTCGATGCCGAGGCGATCCTGTTGGGGGGTTGGAAGAAGGCTTCTGAGGGAGATACAAAGACAGGATGTGAGGGGCTATAGTTACAGAGTTAAGGATAGTGAGAGAGAGGGATGTGCTTGGGACAGACGGTGTAGCAAGTACAGGTTGGGAGGGGCTACAATAACTGAGAGTGGGGCCAGATTATTGAAAGAAGTGCAGGGGAGAGAAGGAATGGCAGGGAGAGGTAGAGTGGGACTGGAAAACCAGAATGCGGGGCAAGGCGCGTGAGGGAAGCGCATGGGAGAGAAGGAATGGCAGGGAGAGGTAGAGTGGGACTGGAAAACCAGAATGCGGGGCAAGGCGCGAGAGGGAAGCGCATGGGAGAGAAGGAATGGCAGGGAGAGGTAGAGTGGGACTGGAAAACCAGAATGCGGGGCAAGGCGCGTGAGGGAAGCGCACGGGAGAGCCGGAATGGCAGGGAGAGGTAGATTGGGACTGGAAAACCAGAATGCGGGGCAAGGCGCGTGAGGGAAGCGCATGGGAGAGAAGGAATGGCAGGGAGAGGTAGAGTGGGACTGGAAAACCAGAATGCGGGGGCAAGGCGCGTGAGGGAAGCGCAGGGGAGAGACGGAATGGCAGGGAGAGGTAGAGTGGGACTGGAAAACCAGAATGCGGGGCAAGGCGCGTGAGGGAAGTGCATGGGAGAGAAGGAATGGCAGGGAGAGGTAGAGTGGGACTGGAAAACCAGAATGCGGGGCAAGGCGCGAGAGGGAAGCGCAGGGGAGAGAAGGAATGGCAGGGAGAGGTAGAGTGGGACTGGAAAACCAGAATGCGGGGCAAGACGCGTGAGAGAGGCGCATGGGAGAGAAGGAATGGCAGGGAGATTGTGGTATAGCAGAATGGGGAGCAGGGACATAGTGGGTGTGCTGGAAAATTTTATAAACGGCCAGGGAGGGGCAGGGAAAGGCGGGCATGGCAGAATGGGGAGCTGGGAGAGAGGTGGTGTGCTGGAAAAAAATATGACGGTGAGGGAGAGGTCGGGAGAGGCGGGCTTGGCAGAATGACTAGCAGGGAGAGAGAAAGAGTGCTGGACAAAATTAGGATGGTCAGGGAGGGGCAGGGAGAGCCTGGCATAGCAGAATGTGGAGCAGGGAGAGAGTGGGTGTGCTGGAAAAACAGGGCGTTGAGGGAGAGGTTGGGAGAGGCGGGCATGGCAGAATGGGGAGCAGGGAGAGAGGTGGTGTGCTGTAAAAAAATATGACGGTGAGGGAGAGGCTGGGAGAGGCGAGCATAGTAGAATCAGGACAGGGAGAGACGTGGTGTGCTGGAGAATTTTAGGATGGTTAAGAAGAAGTTGGGTGAGCCTGTTATAGCAGAATGGGGAGCAGGGAGAGGGAGGGTATGCGGGAAGAATTTAGGACGGTCAGGATAGGTGCATAGCAGAATGGGAGTAGGGGAGAGTGTGGGTGTGCTGAAAAACAATGAGGACGGTGAGAGAGAGGTTGGGAGAGGCGGGCATAGCAGAATGGCTAGCTGGGAGAGAGAGGATGTGCTGGAAATGCATCAGGATGGTGAGGGAGAGGTAGGGAGAGCCAGGCATAGCAGAACGGATAGCCGGGAGAGAGGTAGTGTGCTGGAAAAAAATCAGGATGGTGAGAGAGAGGTAATGGGAGGTTGGCATAGCAGAATGGGGAGCAGGGAGAGAGGGGGTGTGCTGGAATATTTATGAACAGTCAGGGATAGGTGCAAAGCAGAATGGGGAGGCACTCACTTGCACGTCGTTCCAAAAATTGCCGGTTTCGGGGGCGTCATACACCCTCACGCCCCTCACTCTCTTTCTATGCGCACGTGTAACAAGCGGATGGCTAAGTCTTGGTTCACTCAACAAATCTTGTAGGGCCTGCAAATGTTTAGCCATGTGGGAACGAGGGATTAGTGCGGCGCTAAAAAAAACAAGAGCAAACACTCCAACATACCTTCAAGCTGTCACAGTACCAAAAGGTCAAGAATGCCTTTGTTCCAACGCGAGTGACCCCCTTCTTCCACGAACGGTCACAGTCAGTCACTCTCGATTGCACATATCGGTACACATCTCGCGAAGATCTCCATTCCGCAACGTCCGCCCACGATGCGCCTTCATGGCTAAGAATCTTAAATTATCTAGCTACCGAATGTTGAGATACATGCTCTTGGAGAATCCAGCGTGCCAATTCGTCTTTGAAGGAGAATGGAGCTGCGGGGCGCGGATTAGATCCGTTGGGAATATGAGAAACTTCGTCGATCCCACTCGAGTCACTCATGCGTGCCATGAATGCCTCCGGATCATCGGCGGCACGAGCGGCTGCCGCATCTACACCGTCCTCATCGACTGGCTCATCAAACGTAGGTGGTACGAATATGTTTTCACTGCTGGAAGGACTCCACACGCGCCGACGTTGAGCGGGGGGTTGGATTGGTGGGGAATCTGACGCCTCTGCGCCTCTGGATGCAGCAGCTATTCTGCAAGCCGCACTACCTCTATGCGATTCTAGAGCAGAATACACGTAGAAAGGCCCCGAACTACAGTCTGGGCATTCCATAGTGGCGGATGCAGGACTAACTTCGGTGTACTGAAGGCAAAAAGAAAAACAAAGCATGAGTGATTTGCATCAATATTATACTCCCCTGGTTGAGGTGATGTGAAGCGTGTGAACACTTTAGTTGTCGTGAGATGTAGTGCTGAGACTGAGGTTCAAGTCGAAGGGGTGTGCATTAGGGCGCGTCATTCTAGTATCATTCTCAATCGATACCCATCTCAACCGAAGTATTTGTTTATTAAAGCGTTTACAATTGTGCAGCGTCGTATTGCACCGCATTCCCCCGAAGAAAAAGGACGGGCACTTACGAGCCGCGCATTTCACTCACACATGTCAAATCGCATCGTGAGTTTTACACTTCGCGAATTTTGAACTTCGAGTGACGTTGCGACATGCCCGTTAGCCAATACGGTCGTTCAAAATATTGGCCAGCGAAAAAGTGCTGTTTGGAGAACCGAATTGGATGCGACCAATAGGAAGAAACCACGCACTCCCAAATTATATCACAGTGTGTTTTGACTTCGTATGACCAAGGCGTCACGAGATTTCAAGAACCCTGACATACACCTGCTTGCTTACGTACTCTAGAAACGGCTGTTTATGATCACATTCTTGCAAACACCAGACACTGTGCGTCACAAAATCTTCCCGCACGAAGATGCCACGTTTTATGCTTGCAAACACTAGGGTTTCGCCCAATAAATTATACAGTCAATGACTAGTTCCGATTACAACGACAACATTACGCCAAATCGAAATCGATCTCGACCGCACGAAAAAAAGTTGGAGTTTGGGCCGTTGATGTGAAATGTCAAGGAGCGCGACACGATATCCTACGCTGCCACGGCTGATTCCCTGCCAAACACAAGTGAAAAATAGCCATAACACAACCAAAAACGAGCATTTGCCACATCAGCCTGTGGATAGAAATTAACACCCCCTCCCCAAAGCCTTTGATATTCGAAATATTGCCACCACCGTTAACAGACGGTTCAGCATTTTTGAGATGTTGGCGTGTGACTCTTTCTCTGCCCGTCGCGCGCCCCGTGGCACGCGACGGTGCCCTAAACCTGCCCGTTGTACGCCCCGTGGCACGCGACGGTGCCCTGCTCGTCGTGCGCCCCGAGGCACACGATCGGGCCCTACACTTAAACTTACCCGTCGTGCGCCCCGTGGCACGCGACGGGCCTTTCCGCACCTGTCCTCACTGCAGCCGCCCCTGACCTACCTGTGCCAACATATAGTAGCCGCTCTACGGCTTTCTTCCCGCCCAACCCCCTCCTCCTTTGTCTCCCTGCAGCCGTGGGGAGGAGGGTATGGGGGTGGCGGGTGTTGGAGCTTTGGGTCGCTTCCTTCCCTTCCCCTCCTCCTCCTTTCGTTCCCATTGCTGCAGCTGCCGCTGGGGGGGAGGGTGTGAGGGTGTGGGGGAGAAGGGGGATTGGCACCGGGGTGGCGGGTGTGAGGCAGCCAGCAGACGTCCCTCCACCTCTCCTCTTTCCCCCCCCTCTCAGCTGCTCCTGCAGTAGTGTGGGGGAGGGGAAGGAGGAGGGTGAGGAGATGGAGTGGGTGACCATCCAGAGTTAGCCCGCCTGCAGTACCTGCTGTTGCTTGTTATTATTTTGCATGGTGTACCCCCTCAGGGGGCGTAACTATACTTCTACCTACAAGCACTTATGGGGGCGTGTCGAAATATAATTGACATATTTTATAACTGCTTGTAGTTGTAGTGTAGTTATTGTGCTTTGTAGGTGGTGCACCAATTTCATTTGCTTTCCTTGTATAAGTCTTGAAACTTTGTAATGCAAACCACTTTTCCCTTTTCAACTTTCTCGATACCTAGCCTAGGCTCACAACTCACTCGACATACTAGTTGGGCCTAGGCTCCTAAGCCTAGGCCCTAGTTAAAACTCATTCCCTCGTTCTCATTTTCACAGTGCTGGCGTTCGAGGCCCTGGAGATGGCGCTGTCCCGCTCTCCCCACAGCAGCTGCGTGAGTGGTACGTGAGCCGTCAGGGTCGCGCTGCTGGAGCTGGGGTGCTGCTGCGGGAGGCGCTGGTGCTGCTGACTCTACTACTGGAGGTGTTTGTACTGGAGTTCCTGGAGCCGCTGGTCTCGGAGGTGCTCATACTGGAGGTACTGGAGCTGCTGAGGCTGGTGGTACTAATGGACCTGGAGGTGCTACTGTAGACTCTGAGGTTAAAGACCCTGGAGCTGGAGGTGCGAGTTCTGGGGGTGCTGCTGTTAGAGACACTGAGGCTGGAGACCCTGGGACTGGAGGTGCCGGTTCTAGGGGTGCTGCTGCTAGAAGTGCTGGTCCTGGAGGTGCTGTTGCTGGAGGTTCTGGAGTTGCTGGAGGTGCTGGTCCTGGAGGTGCTGGCGCTGGAGGTTCTGGAGTTGGTGGAGGTGCTGGTAGTGGAGGCGCTGGAGCTGGAGGTTCTGGAACTGCTGGAGGTGCTGGAGCTACTGGTGCTGGTGGCCCTGCGCAGCCGCGACTGTTCTTCGCTCCGCCGTCGCCTTCGTCCCTGCCACCGCCTGACTCCGTGCTTCGCCAGGTTCTTAGCCTCCTGTCTTCTACTGGTCTTCCGTTACAGCCTGGCTCACCGTTGCCTGCTACTTCTCCTTACACTGAGCAGACAGAGGGTCTTACTGAGCGTCGTGAGCCTTCGTCTCGTCCTGTCTCACCTGTTCGCACTGATCGCACTGGTCGTCCTGGTCGTCGTGTTCCTCGTGAGCGTCCGCCGGCTGTCCCCGGCACACACCTCATGGCTCTGCGTTCTTTCTCTGCTGCGCAGCGTGTTCCGCTGCCGTCCCCTCCTGCGTCCTCTCTGCCTAACGTTCCAGACCCTGAGTCTGCCAACGCTCGTGCTGCTCACCCTACTATCACGCGTCTGCTAGCCACTATTGTCACTGACCCGTCGTTTGAGTTTGCTGCTGCGTCTACCTTAGTTGCTGAGCTTGTTGACTTTGCTACTGCTTGTCGTCTAGACTACGCCGCTATTCTTGTTGCTGAGTCTAAGTCTGCTTTTCCTTCGTCCGTCGGGGTGAGTGTGCTCTTGGCACGGACGTCCTTGAGGACAGGCAGGAGGAGTTTGAGTGCCTTGCAGCCTTTGCGCCTCATCTTGTGGACATGCTGCTTGCCCCTGAGGGAGACCCGGATCCTCCAGACATCCCTATCCCGCGCTCTTATGCAGAGGCGATCGCGGGTGAGTAATCCTCTCAGTGGCAGGCAGCCATGGATGCAGAGATGGCATCCTGGAAGTCCACATGCACTTACGTTGACGAGGTTCCCCACCTGGGGCGAATATCGTCATTGGTATGTGGATTTTCAGGGTGAAGCGGC